CTTTCTCACTGGTCCAAATTCCATAATTGGGCAGACCAAATAAAAAGAGTTTAAACTCCATTCCATGTGCCAGGACAGCTACAGCATAGTATTCTCTGTTGCCAACAGCTTCATAAAGAGAATAAAATGAACTGGACATTGAGATGATGCTATCAGGTTACTTCTGAGCGAGGTATCCCCAATGGAACTCCCTATCAGGTTATCACTGAACTGGTAAAAGTGACCTATACAGGTACACAAGGATGTGTACAGGAACAAACACTGGAAATCAGAGGTGGTTTTATCGTACCTGTCTGCACTGTACATTTTGCACACTCCCACTTTGTTTTCAGACGCATGAAATCTGTTCTCAATCACAGATAACAAACAGAACACCTGAAAAGCAGGATCTGAAATCATCCTGTGACAATAGGCCTGCCACAGTGACTACTTCAGATCACCCTCCCTTGCCACACTCCTCCCACAGTGTGTGATGCTATTGTCATCAGTCTTTGTTTTTCAGGCCTGGCCTCAACCCAGCCCCAGAGTGTACCTGTAATAAACAGCATGGGGAGCAGCCTCACTACCCTGCAGCCTGTCCAGTTCTCCCAGCAGCTGCATCCATCCTACCAGCAGCCCCTCATGCAGCAAGTCCAGAGCCACATCAACCAGAGCCCCTTCATGGCTACCATGGCCCAGATACAGAACCCCCACGGTAAGAATGTGAGCTCATCTGCTCAAGCAAGCAACAAAATGCTCTGTTCTGGAGCATTTGCTGGGTCCTTGGGCTTGCAGCACTCTACTTTTCTATTATTGTTGCTCTAATGATGACATTTTTCTATTGCATTCATCTCCCTGACCCTCCACTCCCTCTCTTTCGGAGACAAAAGAGCAGGTCCACATGGATGAGGAGAACAACTCAGCCAAACTAGCCTCATGAAAAGCTCCAGCATCCACATGATCTTGTTTTCTTTCATGCACAGCTCTCTATGGCCCCAAGTCTGAAGTGGCCCAGTACACACATACAGGCCTCTTGCCACAAACCATGGTGATAACAGATACAGCCAATCTCAGCGCCCTGACTAACCTGACACCAACCAAACAGGTAACGGCCTTCAGCACATGCCTTTGCTCTCCCACCTTAGAATTGTACCAGTCTGCAGGTAGCTCCTTGCTTGTCAGAGATGTTTTGGGGGTGTGGTCTATGCGATCCCAGTGGGATAATCTTTCTTATCTCCTCATCTTACTGGTACCAGCAGCGATACTGGAGGCATTAGAGTAAGCCCTTCACTGCATCACCAAGGAGGATTTAATCTCCTTGGAAACAGCACCTGCTCACTCTCCTCTCCTGCTTGTTAGAACAGATGTAGAAACCAGGCACTTAACTTCCTTTTCTCTAGGCATTCACACCTGAGTCGGAGACCCACACAGAGTCTGGGATGCACACACCAGTGTCACAGGCTCCAACAATACATTTACAGAACCAAGACACAACCATCCAGCACCTTCAGCCAGGCCCTCGCCTCACCTCAAGCCCTGCTGGTAAGAGCAGCAGCCAGTATCTTAACCCTCGTACTGCCTAGTTTCTTTTGCCAACATTGTAAAAATCCAGTTAAAAAAAGGTAACCTGGGCTCATGATTCTCTTAGAGGGCTCTAACAGTGTCTTGGCGGGGGTGTGAATGCTGGTATGAGGAAAAGATTCAGAGCGCAGTCTGTGTAAGGCCAGAGTGGAAATGGGACCCTTCTTCAAAATCTAGAGAGGAAACTAACCTCAAATATATTGACAAAATCGGTGTCCATGAATATCCAGTCTTGTGGGCCTATTTTAGGGCTGAAAAGCCCAAGAACCCCTCATAAAGAGACTCCAGTTGGAGCTTCCCAGTTCTAGGAGAAGAACTAGGACATGAGCAATTATCTACAGCCCTCAAAACTGAGCTCCCTGAAGCATGTTGCCCTTAGTATTTTCAGGCTAGCTGTGGACTGAAGCTAGGTACATAACAGCACACAAAATAGCAGTTATGTCCCTATGACAGGAGGGTTCAATCATGCTGGAAACGCGAGTGTGCGCACATAAGGGGACTGCAGTGAGAATCTGAACTTAACCTCTCCCTGTGCCTTTAACAGTGTCCTCCAGCAGCCTGGTGCTGTACCAAAGCTCTGACTCCACCAACAGCCACAGTCAGTTGCTGCCATCCACTCACAATGTCATCGAGACCTTCATCTCCACGCAGATGGCATCCTCCACTCAGTAATCATGACAGCTAGCTCAAGGGTGACTGCCATGACCAGCCTGTCAGGTCCAGCTCCAACTGTATTTGCCATCACTGTCATCACTGCCTTCCACGGGAAGGAAAGGCTGCTGCACTCAGCCGACCTCCAGCCTGTACTGCCTCATACAAATCACTTACTCAGCTGCCTCCATAAGAGAAGATGTCTCAGGCTCAAGACAGAAGCCATGGAAAGATGATGCTGGCACTAAAATCCACTGCCTCCCCAAAAAACAAGCAAACCCAAACCCCAACAGCCAACCTAAAATGACCAGACATCCTGCCCCAGAAGATTCAAGACAGGGATCTGAATGCAATATGGCAAAAATGCCAAAGCACAGATGGGACTTTCATTGTCCCCAGCCTCCATCAAGCTGGATATGTACAAACCTGCCAAGACCACCCTAAGCCATGCAGGAAAGAGCAAAGCTGAGCTGCCAAAGAAGGGATGCTCTAAGGAAGCACCAATGGGAACTATGAGAAACAATAGTATCTTGGAGGCAAGAGTGAGAGAACCTGGTTCCTGACACTGCAATGAAAATCATCATGAAACAAGTTCAGGAATGGCTTGGCACAAACCTGTCAGTATTGGATCACTGAGTACAAGCTATGAATCCTTTAATTAACTACAGAAATACCAAACATTCTCAGTTAAAAATGACCTGCTCTAAAATCATGCTATCCTAGTGGAAATGGCTTGGTTATTTTTGATATAGCTCTGCTTTGTTTTAAATGCAGAAATTAAAGTTTAACAGCAGCAAGGAGATTCCAGTTCTTTGCATTACCCATATGGGCTCTCGTGTGTCTTGCTGAATGAGCCGAGGGTGGCATTCTCCACTGATCCCTGATACTGCATACATGTCCCAGTGCTCCACAAAGGGCAGTGATCCCTTCAGTTGTTCTCTATAGAGATGTCAGCTTCACTTTAAAGAACACAGCTCATTCTTAGCTTCTCTGTAGGCTGTATTCTGTAGTTCTTGATATGCAAATAATTACCATGGGTTTTAAGAGTCTTACTCGCACCGAGTTAAGGTTTTTAGCCCTATGGACCTACTTGTATAATTCCTCTTCTAATTATTATTCTGTATTTACTCCCAGTGTTCACATCACTAACACGTGACTAGCCAGACATGAACAAAAACCTCACTTAATGTTTTTGTCTTTGTGACCAAACCAGAGTTTCAAATGTAAAATGGATGAAAACCTCTCACGATGGGGCTCAAGACTCTTAAAAGGTTAAGAGAATTTCCAAACAAAAAGCCCAGCAGTGAACTCTTCAGGTATCATACCTGGAAATTTCAACATTGCAGCTGTCCATTACAGTTATTACTGATACAAGCCTCTTCTAGATATCACCAGCCATCACAGACTCCTTTCAGTAACTACAGTATGACAAATTTCATCCTAGAATATCGTTTCCTAGTCTCCCATGTGTGTCAGTTGCAAATACATAAAACTTCCAGTTAGCTTAAAAATAATCATCATAAAGCAAGTCAAAAGACAATGTTTAGACCACTATGCATTGAAAACCCAGGTGGTAGCTTCAGTACACTGATGTTTTAACTGCCCGTAAGGCAAGTGACTTCTGCTGGCACATTCAGTTAGATTACAAGCCAATTTTCTACTTAGCTTTGCCATTTTTGGATGCCAACTGTGTTTTCTTGAATAAAAAAACAGGAAGAATCTTACAGTAGGAAAGAAAACATCTTGGGTTTTCCTGTGCTCAAAGATCAACTTCTATTTCAATTTCTCTAATCTGGCTTTCTGGTCTCCTGAATAGGGCCAGAAAGTTAGAGCTACTGAAACCCAAAAATCTTAAAAGCAGAAGTGTATTTATCCAATAGCAGGTCATTTCCTGAAATACCAGAACTGAAGTATAAACAGACTATAAGCCATACTCAACACTACCAAACCCCATTGTATTTCAGACACACAGAAGTCATAATCAGCTAAAATAAAGACTGAAACACAGTGACTTTTAACTTAGGTTTAAATCCTTCCTATAGCACTTTCATAGCATTGATCACCAAGCAACTACAGAGACATCTTCAGCCACCTTTGTCTCCACTAGGGGAGCCATCTGAACACAGCAAGAAAGCCACTATTGTACAAAACCTGCCAAATTAAGTAATAATGTATTAGAATTTAATAACAACAAATGCCATGAAAACCTATAAATGAAAAGACATTTCAACAGACACAACCGGAACAGAACTACTTCTATAGGTGAAATAAGTTCACTGCACACTCTGCTCATAGGCAGGGCACCCTGGAGAGGTGCAGATTACAGGAGGATTAGTGAGGTGGCAGGTTTCAACAACAGATTGTTATGATGATCACAGGAAAAAAAATAAGGGGGCCCTGATACGTGACAGGATGTTTTTGATTAATGAGTCTCCCACAGGCTGGAGCTACTCTTAGCAGGCATCTAGGAGGAGGCAAAGAGAAAAAGGAGTTGATCACCTGTTGCCATGTAAACCAAATTCAATTCATCATTTGATTTCTCCAGGACACAAGGTTTGATTTCATAATGTGAAGGAACACACCAGGAGGGATGCAGCTATGATCATAGCTCTCTGTCACACAAGTCTGTGCACAGTACCGAATCCTTTTACACTAGTTCTGCATAAGCAGCAGCATAGATAACTGCTGTGCAAAGAGAACAATATTCCCTTCTCCAAGGGATACCAACCACATAGGAGGTTACTCAACTAGACTCTCAGGCCACTGAACTTTTAGAACAGAACCTTTGCCAACTCTTGTTGTAAGGGCTTTTTCCCAGCATCCTTCATCCATCACATTCACCTGCCGCTTCCAGAGCGAAAGCCTCACTCTTTCTTTCTCTTCTTTTTCTTCTTCACAGCTCCTGGCAACACTGAGTTCTCTGGGTGACTGCAGTCCTGTCTCTCATGCTGTCCATTTGCAGACACCAACTGTGGCAAATCTTTGCAGATCTCATCACACTCTGCTGGGTCTGTTATTGTCTCCTGAATATTGTTCTCTCCCCTAATTTTCTTTTTTTTCTTCTTCTTCTTCTTTTTTTTCTGGCTGTGCTCTACATAACCCCGACTCTGATCCTGGCTGGAATCCTGGCACAGTGCAGGAAAAGCACTTTGCTTCATAATGTCTGTGGCTGACACAGCAGCCTCTTGGTACCTTTGCCACTCTTGGTCACTGTCCATCTCACTGGAAAGGCAGCAAAATGAAAGGAAGTTACATTAAACTTTTGCCTTGAATTCAACCAAAACAGACAGAATAATCTGAGAACACCTGATAAACACACAGTGCCTCTGGGACTCCGACAGCTACAGTTATCATTGAACCAGTTTGAAGGCTGACATGTTCTTTACACATATTAGGAGGGGAAAGGACATACCCCATAAACACTTCTAATTCCCCAGCACTAAAAAAAACAAACAAAAAGAATCTGCCCTAGTCAAATGGAGGAGCCAAAGAGACACTTCTCAAGCTTTTCAGCTTCCTATTCCCTTATGAGAGTCCCAGCTGCCTCTGAAATGTGGGCTGCAATTGTACTTAAAGAGCAAAGGAGCTGACACCACCTCACCTGGAGCTAGATGGCTGCCTCCTCCTTGCTGCAGGGCAAGGCTCTGATTTCCCACAGTCTCCTGGGACAGATGAGGAGAAGAGGCGAAATCCTAGAATATGTAAAGGGGAATTTCAGCCATGACATAAAACAGAAGTGAAAGCAATCATCAGCAATCTCCCTGGGAAGCCTCACTGCTGCTATTGTAATGCTATAGCATTTGACAGCAACTACTTGGGACTATCTGGGAGGACGCAGGGCACAGAGATCAGAGCTTCAAAGTAACACAAACATCAACAGGAATTCTTCTACTGCAAATGCTTATTAGGCAGATGTGTGTACAACCACCAATGGACAGGATCTGTCTCACTTACTTAACTAACAAGGTCACAAAACAGCCACAATGGCTGTGACTAAACTCACCATCATCTGCAGAGTCAGACTGCTGCCCAGAAGTTTGTGAGGATCCTGATGAGTCCTTCAGGACAGTGATGAAACTAAACAGAAAACCCCAGTCAGGCCTTGGACAGGTTTGTGCAAACTGAGCTAAAGCTGGGTATTTCCAGGAAACAGGCCTACAGGGAGATGTTACACAGCATCTTACTTTTTAATTAGGAAGTGAAGCTGACCCACCTCCCTGCTTTCAGGGCAGATCATTCCTTCTCTCCTGAGCGACACATGCCACAGGAATGACTTAAGAGCAGTGTTTCTAAAGCCAACATTAAACACCAGGAATTCTAGTTCTCCAGGCCCACGCTGACACAGTAAAGACAGTGGCAGCCCAGTCTGAAGCATAGTGCCAGCAAACCCTCACTGAGGAACTGGTTTAGGTCATAAGAATAAATTGGAGATTCTCACACCAGCCTTTACATGATGCAAACGCTAAAGCACCTAAATTCTTCCTTTTCCTCTCTACAACACACTCACTGCAGAGGCAGAGACAGGCAGTGGGAGTCTTCTACCAGGGGGGCACAGCATATGGGCCAGGTTAGTGTACAGAATATTGGAAATCTGCATTAAATACAAGCATTAAGAAGACAGTAAGAGAGTTTCTCCTCAATATCCAGGCTGCACTCAGATCTTTAATTTCCTGGGTTTAGCACACAAAACCATCAGCGTAGTTGGCCCACAGATCATGGTCGCTCAGTGTCACATGCTAATACCTGTCTAGCATCGCTCCCAGTTTCTTTGCTACATGTGCTCTGAACTCTGGTGTTGTCTGTAGCTCGTTTCCATCCTCTTCATGACCGTTCAACTCATGCCTGTTTAAGGTAAGAATAATGATTATCTCTTTCAAGGCAAAGAACATCTGGTGCTCTCACCCAAACAGGAGATAAGGGATGGAAAATTTCCTGCGCTCTAGTAGTTAATTCATATGTAATAGAGGAGACTGCTAAGAAAGATGGGAAGTACCTCAGTAGTAACAGTTCAGTTTCCAAGAGAGCTAAACATTATTTACCCATCTCTATCACAGTTAGATGACTTTTCTCATTGAAAGAGCCAACAAAACCAAATCATATCAGGATATCCCTTCTCTTGCATGTAGTTCCTGGGTATGTTGCCGTAATTCATACGACTATGAACTGTCTCCTGGGTTTTGTTTAGCTGCCTGGGCGACAGACTTTGAAATTGAGCTTACAGAAGTGCTGCAGACTTAGACAGGACAGCACCACCTCCGCTCCAAGGCTCCTGGTTCAGCGGCTGCTTTCCCACCGATGAGTATTTGCCTTTGCAAGTGCAATGTTTCACAAAGAAAAGCCTTTTTTGTATCTGTAACTGTTCTAATTCCTCCATGGGATGCTTGCGGAGTTGGGAGATTTCAGACAGCTGGAACTAATGCTGTTAACTGACAGCAGATCTATATTCCCTTGCTATTAACAACTATTAGGTTCAAGCATAATTTCAGATTCTGGTTGGACCAATTCCCAAAACAGCACTAAGTATCCCAAGGTGTTAGCTGTAAGAAGCACAAATACAACACAAGTTAACCTTTTCTGCAGTGAAACATAAGCCTGAAAGCAGGAGTAAAAATACCTTAGGCTAGGCTGAGCAGGCTGCTGCTGTAACCGATCCCTTTTAAAGCCACCTGGCAAAGGAAGAAGTAAAGGCAAGTTTAAAAGACCAGGGGCCAAGACCTCTTCAAATCCTTTTCTGGCACATGTGACTTTATAGCACAGGAATCACGGTGGTAAAACACTGTGGTAAATCAGTTACGATGGAAAGGGAAACTTCCCACCGGCCGCGCTGTAGCAGACACCTTCCAGGGAAGGGGCTGGGGCTCTGCCCCGGCAGGAGGCCGCGCATCGCCGGGCCGGGCAGGGCCCCCTTTTGAGGGCCCCTCTCGGCTCCCTTGTGCGCTGGCGGTTTCGGCACCGTAGCAGAGGTGCCCCGCTTGACCACTGCTCCCCCGGGACAACCCCGGGGCAGGAGGAGCTGCGAAGGTGCCCGGCCCTGACAGGCGGGGAAGGAAAGGAGGGGCAGGACACGCCGGCGGGACAGCAGAGCTCCGCTGGCCGACAGCCCTCACCACCGCGAGGCTCCGCCCGCACCGACGCCGCCGCCTGCGCAGCGCAGTCCCAGGCAGCCTCCCGGAACCGCGCCGCCGCCTCGCCGCTGCTGTCCGAGTCCGAATCCGTATCCAGACCCGAGCCACCCCTGGGCGCCGCCATCTTGAAGGCGCGACGGGCGCGGGGCACGCTGGGTGCCGTAGTCTGGGCGCGGGGCACGCTGGGGGCTGTAGTCCATCGGGGCAGGCTCCGACAAGATGTCTGCGGCCCCGGGTGGTGCGGGTTCTGCACTTGCTTGTAAAGCAGGCGGCGGGAAGGCTGCGCTCACAGGACAGCTCTGTGCGCTGCAGGCCAGGCCTTCCCAAACCCCAGGAACCTGGGAACGGAAGGCAGCGCCAGCAGCTGCGGGTCGCCCGCAGGAGCGTGGGATTCCGTGACAAAGCAGTACGAACGCTCAGTGTCTGGGGCCGGCGGGGCTGAGAAACCCCAGCACGGCGAGGAGACCCGGGATGGCTGGGCTTGTGCTACTGGGAGGAGCGGAGCTGGCGATGTGGAAGCGCCGCAAGCAGCCGCGGCTCGTTGACAGATCCATCCGGTGCTGAGCAGCCGGCTTCCACGTGTGGCGCACGGGAGAACAGCTCCGTGTTTCTCAGCTGTAACAGCTCACACACAGACGGTGAAATACACACCAATGACAGCGCTTTTGTGTGCGCAGAGAAAGAAAGCTTGGCGTTAAAGACTCGGGATGTAGAAAGATCGAGCAACTGTAATAAAATTCTCAGCACTTTTTGTGACATCTCTGAGATTTCACTGCTCCAGAAATGCTGTCAGCCCTCAAACTGACATTCTCATGTCGGGGACAGCACACAGATCTTCTAAGCATAAGACAGGATGGGACCCATCGGCTGTAGCAAGTGAGAAAACATACCAGACACACAAGATTCATTAAATATGTAAAATGTATTAGACAAAAAGCATCAAATTCCCTCACCTCTGGCAGGGGAAAGAAAACGTGCATCTCCTCTGCCTGTGCCTTTTGCAACTGCTTCATACGTACATTTGGAATGACAAGTTCCAAGGATAACAAATTGGCATTACCCAATCCAAAAAGGCATGACATGTTTAAAACCTGAAGGCTGCATGGAGGATATTCTCTTCAGCGCTCTTAGCCAGCTTGCCTTGGTGGATCTTGCCTCTTGCCTTGACTCTTCCAGCCACCTCCTTCTAACTGGCTGTCAGAGGCACGGGGATTTCTGCAGCAGACTGTGACCATGTTTCAGTTTGACAATTTGCCTTCACAGATGTCAAGCACCAGATGCTTCAAAGCTTGTTCTACTCGAGCAGATCAGGCAAAGTTCAGTGTGGGCCTGCTCTGAAGTATGGCAGCTCCCAGAAATAGGATCCAGAAAGGAGCAGATGAATGCATGTCACCTACCAGAAATAGCTGTATGGTCTCCCACCTTTCTGGTGTGGTACTGAAAACAGAGCAGGGAAATGAGCAGAAGCACTTGGAAATGGCTCTTGCTGAACAAAGGCAAAAGGCCAGATAGGAACTCTGTCATGTAGAAATTCCAAGGGTTTTCCCAGATGTAATTTAATCCTGAATTAAGATACCATTGTATCCAAGATACAAGTAAATCCAGGAGTATTGATGAGAAAAATAGTGATAAGAGGATCAAGGACTTGGATTCCTGATATATGTATGGCTTCTGTAATTAAGGATTTTAGGAGAGGGGTTGTGTGTACCATAAATATCAACATTATGTTCGACAATTGTATGACTTAGATGATGAGAAAGGGAATAAATCAAAGTGATTTACCCTCATGCACATGATGAGAATGAACTGGCAACCAGGGCACCAGGTCTTTCTAACTCTAAGCGGTTATAGGCTACCATCTACACTTTAGGAATAAATATTACAATTGTCACTGGGCAGTGCCAATATTCCCTGGCTATGTTGTCATGGCAGTAACTGTGTCTCTTTTCAGATTGCTTTGGTTATCCTATGACACCCAGACAATAGTGTTCTGAGCATTTCTTGCTCTGTTATAATACCAAAAATCAACTTTTTTTTTTTACTTTATATACTGAAATTCTTCTGACTCCAGACATACGTGGTCACTAGTCCAAGCCAGTCCAAATTTCACAAGCTCATCTTGGTTTTAATCAGCATCTGGAGGATACCGCTTGTACCTCTGGGGCCTTGTTAACTTCTGATTAATCGGATACTACACTGAGATGCCAAATTTTTGCTTGCATGCTGAAACTGTGCCAAACTGTGCTGCTTTACTGCCTTGGGACAAATCAGAGAGCAAATACACTGCCTGTGTGGGTAGGACACCTTTACACCATGTGTCCTAATGTTATACCATAATCATAGAATCACAGAATGGTTTAGGTTGGAAAGGACCTTAAGATCATCCAGTTCCAACCCCCTGCCATGGGCAGGGACACCTCCCCACTAGACCATGTCACCCAAGGCCTCATCCAACCTGGCCTTGAACACCGCCAGGGATGGAGCACTCACAACCTCCCTGGGCAACCCATTCCAGTGCCTCAGCACCCTTACAGTAAAGAACTTCCTCCTTATATCCAATCTAAACTTCCCCTGTTTAAGTTTTAACCCGTTACCCCTTGTCCTGTCACTACAGTCCTAATGAAGAGTCCGTCCCCAGCATCCCTATAGGCCCCCTTCAGATACTGGAAGGCTGCTACGAGGTCTCCACGCAGCCTTCTCTTCTCAGATACTATCTTCATCTTCACCTCAGCTACAAATTTGCCAGTGTGATACATCAACATGGATAGCAATTTCAGCTGGGCTGCTGGATGACCACTTTGAGATGGGTTCTGCCAAGCCTATGTGCTACTGAAAGCAGTATGAAGGCTCAGAATAGCTGGGTTTATGTTATCATTTCCTGGCACACGTTCAACCTTCACACTAGAACTCTGGAGTCTCAGGTCACCTGTGAGCAGACAGGCCTCAGCCCTTGGTCTCTTTCTGATAGGCACTAACCTCCCTCTACTGCTTAGCTTAACTACTCACTTGTAAGGCTCACATTTAGTGGGAGACCTTGGTTTAGGATACACCAAGTCTCCACTGTGTAAAACAACAAGGAATTTTCTGCTGGTTTCTGCCTTGGTGTCCAAGAGGTGCCTTCTCGGTCACCTCTCTCAGCTCTGACCCACTCCTGCAGACACCAAGTCCCCTCCTCTCCCTCCCTTTTGTCCCTCTCCCCATCTGTGGTTTCTGACAGCTGTGTAAATACCTTGGATCGAGCTCTCTGTTCCCATCCTGGGAATGCTCCTCTGTTCAGATCCTAGCGCTCTGCACACACATTTGCACAATTCATTCCCCTCAAAGCTGCTGCCTTCCCTCCTTCCTTGGGTCGAGCCCTTGTCGTTGGCAATACGAAGCTCCCGCGTCTCTCAGAGGCAGCCGCTCGGGCACGGCCCCCGCACCACCTCACGACGAGCAGCACAAAACTGCAACAGAAACAGAGCAAGCGAGGGTTACGGCGGCGGAGGCCGAGCCTGGCCCGAACGCATCGCGGTTCGCACCGCACCACTTCTCTCGGTGAGGTCACAACGGGCCCGGGGAGTCGGGTCGGGGGGCTCGGGGCCAGGGCGGGCAGCCCGGCAGCTCTGACCGGACCTTGCCCGGGAGCCGCGCTGCCACCCGGGGCACCCCGCGCAGGGCCCAGGCGCCGCGGCCCCGTTTCCAAGGCACCGCCCCACAGGGTAGCCCCTGGCAGGCGGAACGCGGCCCCACGGCCCGGCGCGGCGGCGGGGAGCCCGGTCCCTTCCGCCAGGGCCGGGCTTCCGGGTGATCAGGTGACGGCGGCCGCTGGCAGAGGAGCGGCTCCGCGGCTCGGGGCTGCTGCGGGGGAGCAGCGAGACCCGCCGGTGAGCCCAGCCGAGCGGAGCGGGTCCGGCTGGCGGGGAGGGTGCGGGGAGCCGAAGCCGGGCGGCGGTGTGAGGGGAGCGGGCCGGGGCCGAGCCGTGCCGTGCCCCGGGGCCGCTGGAAGGCCGGAGCCGCCTGCGCTCGGTCGAGACGAGCGAGCCCGGTGTGCGCAGCCTCGCTGCCGGAGCTCCGGCCGGGGCTGGCAGCGGCAAGCAGGGCCCGGCGCCGCCTGCGAGGGGTTTCCCCCCGGAATCCCAAGTTCAGCGGCCTGCAGGCGCCGGAGCCCCGGCCCGGGGCAGCGCCCGGCTGGATTAGGGACACGTCGGGCTCTAGGTGCGGCCGCAAAGCGAGAGCTTCGGGTACGTGCCATTATTGTGCTTTTTTCCTTCTTAAACCATACCGTAACTGCTGTATCTCCGCGTTGTGCTGCTAGGCGGGTTAGCCCACTGGAGGGGTGTTTAATGTTTTACATAACGCCCAAACCAGGAAAACGCTCCGGCAGTATTACCCAACTGGTTGTATCAGTTTTTTTTTTCTTTCCTTTGGACTTTATGAGGTAAGAGGATAAAATCTTTGTCTAAAGATTAGTGCAGCATTTTCTTGCAGTCTATAGTGTACCGAATGGCTAAACCAAAGAATTCCTTCAATCGCTTGGGGGGTTTGGTAGTTTGTAACAATGTCTCGCATTGGTGCCGTGCATTGAATCCTCTGAGCTGCCATAAGGGCCTTTCAGCAGGGCTCTTATCCTGGAAGCAGTAACTGTAACACACGTAGGTTGCAGAATCCCAGGTAATGAAATGAGGCCAAGCAAGGGCACGCTGGTCTGTAGGGCAAATGGCTGGTTTGGCAAGTGCCGGTGATCACAGGAACGTGTACACTGGGACCACTTGATGGCAATACTGAAAAGTGGGCAGGTGATGTGGCACAGGTTATAGGAGGCGGAAAGATGGACTCAGAAACTGCTTCTGAAGCGTTAAAATGTAATATGCTTGGGGGGGCAGAATAGAGTGAAAAGGCAGTGAGAGATAAATGTGTATTTAATGATTAACAGGATGGCTTCAGTCCTGTATTTGTTAAGAATGTCAAAAAATGACTGTCAAGGAGTAAATGTAATTTCTTCTAGGCACTGTCAGCAACTGTCAGCTAAGGTTACCTGTTCATTTTACTTGAAGTCCAGGTAATAGTTTAAGGGTGAGATTGTTGTTAAACTTATGAGAGGGTGTATTTATATAAACTCTTGAGTAATGTTTTTAGATTTAGATGGAATTTCTGATGTTAATATTCCTTTGATAAAATTTGTCCTGTGTCTGACAATGACACTGGTACTGTAGCAATAAGAAACATAACCCGTTGAGTTTTCCTTTTGATTAAAATGGCAAAAGTTCAGAACCTAAATCAGCCCTTGAGACAGAAACAGATTAGTTTTAGATTATTTCTGTTTCAGTAATCCTAGATAGTAAGATTCATTAGGAAAGAAACATGGAAGTGTCTTTCTAGTGCAATTTTACATCCAGTAATGCTCTTTTTTATTTCATTGTTATGTATTAGAACACCTATCCTACAATTGCTTCATAAATTAGAAGTTAATGTCATCTGTGTATTCCCTTTCTGTCTTTCTGGGGTTGATCTATTGTTCACCTGCTTTGTTTCCAGTGGGGTTTTTGTATGCTTTAACGGTGGTGGAAACTCCCCCATTGTGTCTTCAAGTGTTTCTCTTGTGTTTTTAGTCAGGTCAAGTGTACTTTGGCAAATACAGTCATTTCTCATTTGCCAAGTTTAGGAATGTGATCTTTTACAGGAGCCACTCAGCTCATTTTCCTGGTGTGCAGTTTCTCCCACTGGATTTATAGATTCAATTTTTAAAGTATTTGAGTAAAATTTCACTTTTGCTGCCTGTTATCTATACACAGCACATAGACTTTCCTGCACTTACTTCTTTCATGGGCCTCCCGTGCTCTCCATTGTGAAACTTTCAGGTCCCAGTGTGCCATCTGCTTCTCAGAGCTCCAGTTTCACCACCTCTTTCATCCATGATTATTCTTTATGCGACTTGGTGGGATTTGTGCTGGTTCCCTTAACAAGTATCTTCACTTCCATGTCTTCTTCATGCTCCACAGGGCTTCTTTTATTTAGGAAGACCACTTCAAAATGGGTTCTTTGTTGTTTAACTCTTCATCTGTTGCCACTCTTGATTCTCGAATGCAGTAAATGTCAGTGATTCAGTCACTGTCAGAACAACCTGTTGGGATAGCATAGAGGTCATGATTTGAAGGAAATAAATAGCTAACATAAATGGGTTTTAAATAACAAAGATACTGTTTTCTTGTAAATTTCTAAAGAGCAAAAAAGCAGGAAATAAAAAAAGAGAAGATCTTTGCATCCTTGCGTTTAGATCACGGCTGATTTTTATATCCTTTCTCTTGTTTTGTTTGCTGCTCATCATGATGTGTCTGGGGTTGATTTGGAGACCTGATGTAAAGGATGAAGGTTTACAAACCTCAACTGGCATCTCTAAATTCTGTTTACTTAACACCAAAATTTATGATATATCCTGGTGTACTCACACTCTTCCTTCTGAACTCTAAATCAGAATGAAAATGGGGTTAGTTTGGCTTGTTGCGTTGGTTGTTGGTTTTCTTTTTAGTTTGTGGCTTGTTGGGGGCGAGGAGGGGGTGCCTCCTCCAAAAGGTTTTGTCTCGGAGCTTAAGTGTAGTTCAAGTGACATTTCAACAATTTTGAGCTTGTTCTCCATTCAGAACAAGTTGAATTTGCAGCTGAACTTCAGGATTCACAGACTATGCTCACAAGTGACACAAAATATGATTACCAAGTGTAAGTTTAGTCATTGATGCTGTTTCATGCTTGCTGCTTTGTATATGTGCAGCGTGATTTGCAGCTGAACAGCCCCCAGCAGCACGTGTTATGTTAAACAGTTTTCCACGGAGCTAATGTCTGAGAGGGCTTTTCAGAATAAGGTTATTTTATTGTTGTGGTTTGATACATTTTTGCTATTGTAAATTGCTTATATCCTAATAGGTCTTTGGGCTCAGTCAGCCTATGAAGAAATAATTAGGAGAGGATCCCAGTACAGCCTAAGGAATGGCCTGCTTCCGGGACAGTAGATTCATTATGATCTATGTTCATTATGCCTATTATGATTCTTCTGTCTCAGCCATCTGTATTCCATTACATTACTATATTCCTATGGATTTCTCTATCATCTTTCTTCAAAACTTAATGATTTATTAATATTTTTTTTAAGTTACTAAAAGACAAGGAATTTATAAGTAGAAGTTTGTGAAGGTACAGATTTTATCTTTTTTGATGAGTCTCCACATTTCTGGTGTTAAATATATGGAATTTAATTAGGAAAAAAGGCCTTCTTTCCACATTGGTTTTAAGGACAGAAATTCATTCATTCTGGTAGTAAGGATGTGTGAAAATTCCAAGTCTCTTTAGCTTATAGTTTGTGGGTTGGCAGCACTCCCATCTGCCTTGAACTAACATGAGGTGTAATTTTATACAATGAACTGCTACTGGGTATAAAGGAAGTCACACTGTGAAATGCTAAGAGCAATGTGTGTACAGCATCTGTGAATACAAAGTCACCCTTCTGGGACACTGTGCAAAATGATGTAACTGAGTGAAAAAGCTCTGCAAAAATACATTTCACTGTTGTTGTTGAGCATCTCCGCTGCAATACCATAATGAGGCTCGAGTATGATTCTTTCTTGACCACACAGTGGGATTGTACTGTATGAAAAAAGCTGTTGACACTAATAGCTAGAGTTGCTGAGGTTTTATTTTGCTGCCCTGCACCTGTGCTTCAGCACTGCTACAAAGAGGGGACACTAAGGAAAGCCTTTAATGCTTTGGGGGTAAGTTTGCCAAGAAATTCTCTTCTGAAAAATTCAGGTCACCCTTTTAAAATGCTTAACTGTTTGTGTGCTTGCTAAAAGTTGAGATAATCACCGTTTCTTTCTTACAACCTTATCTAAGTATTCATATCCCTGCAGCAGCAACGTGATGTCAGGTTCATGAAATGCACAGTGGAGTATTCTAATCTGTTTTGGTGAATTAACTTCTGAAACTACTGAAACCTCTTAGTTCCTGGATTAAAAATCTTGTACTGGTAAAAGTATTCGTTTCTGGAAGTGGAAATGCCTTGGGCTGAGCCTCAGAGGTTTAGGTACTGTGGAGTTTGCATTTCAAGGAATTAGAGTGTGGAGGTTGTTCTTTGATAAAGATGATGACGTTAATGAGAACCCAAAGCATGTAAGTAAAATTAAAGCACACTGAAGTAAATTTTTACTACTTCTGAATTACTTCCAGATTAGAAATGTTTGATAGTCATATCAACACACTGCTGTGATAGCAGCTGTATACTGCTGATGAGACAAATCATGTACTAGGCCACCTTTGCTTGCCATTATTATCACTGTTATTCCAGATTAATGAACGTTGAACTTAAAAATGCTTGAAGTCAGTCTGTCCAGATTGTGAATGGCTTTATGATTAAATCCTGTTTCAGACTGCATCCTCCTTTATGACTGGCATTGAAGTTTTGGAGGAGTTATGACCATATGAGCTCATTTATGAGAAAACACAATGGGTTTGTTTTGTCTGTGGATCTCAGTTGCTTATCAGTAACTTTAAAACAGAGGTCACGTATCAGCCAGGTCATACTACAGGGCTTAAAGTAGCTTAGTTTGTCAAAATACATCTCTCTTGGCTATGTTAAACTAAGCCCATCAACAACAGGCTTCAAGTGCTTCTTAGATAAATCACTCCCAGTTTGGAACAGGATGAGAATGCAATGTTATAATCAAGAAGTTGTTTGGTTGTTGGGTTTTTTTTCAGCCCCTTCCTACTGCTTGGATTCCAGCAGGAGAATTTTCTTGACCTTGTGTCTGGGTAGTTCTTGAAGATGGCCAGCAAAGGACCCACGACTTCTACATCAACAAAGAGCTCCAGTACTGGAGGGACCAGTGGCAGCAGTAGCAGTAATGGTGCTGGGGACAGTACTAATCAGGACAACACTTTTGAGTGTAACATCTGTTTAGACACTGCCAAGGATGCAGTTATCAGCTTGTGTGGACATCTCTTCTGGTAAGTACTCATCCCCCTCAGATAAACCAGAACACTATCTGATCATGTAAAAGCCTATGCTTTTTATAAATCTAAGACATCAAATAAAATGGCTTGTATAAAATTAGTAAGGACCATAGGTTTGGTTTAGGAGGGGCCTGGGTTTGCTTCTCAACTGTTTTTCTTTGCTTGTGTTCCAGGGAGTGGGTTTCTTGCGTCTTAAACTTCCTCAACTTCCTGTACTTCTGGGTTATTTTGTAAAACAAACAAACAAGCCCCACATAAGACAGTGTTCACTGACACTGCTTGGTTATGCGTGCTATTTTGTGCTGTCTGGTCTAGCACAGATATCTTGTTCAGACCTAAATTCCTTTCTAAGCTGTGCATACCTAAACCTGCATCTGACATTAGGTTGTAGAGGCCAAATTGTAGTTCTCATGCTTCCTATAAGCTTGCTCTTTTTCCCTTTGAAACCATAAAAAAAAAAAGATAAAAAGCTTTTTACCTGTGGGTTTCTCTTTTCCTGTGGTCTTGCGGTTGTAACACTGCCTATTCAGTTCTTTGGTCTGACGTTGGAATGTATCACACAAACACAAGAAGTGTGCAGCATTTCTTACGTGGGTAACTTGGGCTAGAACATACTCTTTCTTGAATGTTAAGAAGGCATTAAGGATTGACATGGCCAAATGGGGTTTTGGGGGGGGTTGTTTTACAGAGTAGGCTAAATTGTGCTCTTTTTTATACAAGAGGCCTAAAAGAGCATTTCTGTATAAATGTATGTAATATCTGATAAATAAGGTTCTTACTGTAGGAGATGGAAAATCACTTGATGATGGTATGTTAAGATAAATTATTGTACAAAAGGATGTGAAAGAATGGAACTTTAAAAATCAGCAAGTGTCTGTCTGAATAGTGTTGTCAAGACTGCTTGTTGCCATATTAATTTAATCTTAAGAGTAGTTCTGTGTAAAGGGGATTTCTCTGCCCTGAGCCACTGGGTCTGATCTCAATACTTGACCCTGCTCTGAGCATTGGGTTGGACTGGAGGCCACCTGGAGTACCATCCACCTGGAGGTATTCCATGATTTAGTGAACACGGCTGATGTTTTACCTAAATCTCTCTTATTTACTTTAAGATCCTGAAGGATCTTTACTGATTCCTTCCTCATTTGCATCTTAGCTCAGGGATGTCTTTTCATGGTATTAGAAGAGAAAATTGTACAGTAAACACCAAGATAAATTAAGCCTCTGTATGGGCCTTTGGTATGGAAGAGGGCCCAGGAATCAAAGGAGATATATAGAAAATCACATTAGCAACTTAGTTAGATTGCATAACCTGAAAAGACCAGTGGAGATCCATCTTGGGCTGTGCTTTCAATTATTTTAATGGGAGGTTATGGAACTAGCCCAGCTGGATTCCAGGATTTTGTTGTCTCCAAGCTGTGCTATCTGTGGTACACTATACGTCTGTCAGATCCACTTGTCAGTAACTAATTCTGTTTTCCCCTCTCTTTCTGCTCTGTGAACAAATTGTCCTGGGAACGCTCACAGTTGGCCTTGTTTACACCAGGTAAGACAGGTTTCCTTTTACTTTGTCTTTCATCAGCTCCTGTTACTGAATAAAGCCCGCGGTTCTCTGGAGTATGCCCCTCTTTTCAAATGCTCTATCTCTCCAGGGCAATCACAACCTGCTAATGCAGTTTCATACACAACACCTTGCAATCTGCTCTTTTCAGCATTGCATCCCACTTTTGAGTTTCTTAAATACTGGGTATTCCCAATTTTGCAGGAGAATTACTGTAGGCAGTTCACAGGGATTTACTTTGCAGGCTTAAGTGCTGAATGTGCTTCTCTTGGAATATGTAGTGTTTTACATTCTGGCATCATTACAGAAAAGATAGATGAAAGGAGGGTATCTACACTTGGCCTATGCAGGATTGTTGGTTCTGTTTATTTCTTCATATTTTACTTCAGTGCAGTTCTGAATGTGTACACATCAGCAAGCGGTTCGTACCAGAACGACAGCCAAAATGCCAGCTCCAATCTGGAGAGTACTTGGCACTTAGTAAAATGTTTTGCTCCATGGCTTTCTGAGAAATTGCTGAAGTGTCTCTGCCTGGCTGCAGATGAGGTTTGCATGTTGTTATTTACATGGTCCTTTACTGGGTTTCTTATAATTTACTTTCTTTTAGTGGCTAGAGACCAGGCCAAACAGACAAGTGTGTCCTGTATGCAAAGCAGGAATCAGTCGAGATAAAGTTATTCCTCTGTATGGAAGGGGTAGCACTGGGCAGCAGGACCCCAGGTAAGAAACCTAAGTACAACTATTTTTGTGTGAAAACTAAAGATGAAACTTTAGTTTAAGGTCTTAAGATGAGATTGTCAAAATAATGGATTCACAATGTGAAATACTTTGTTAAAAGACAGATAGAACTGCCATTTCTGCCTGATATTTCTGGCCTGGGTTTGCACACCTTATTTCTTGTTCAGCTGGCAACTTGTTCTAATTGGGTATTAATTGTAAGTTACAAGTGTCAGGTTGCAATGAATGTTATCTGACTGGACAAACTTACCTAAAATGTTCATTTCCTCAGTTTCTAGCCTTTGCAATGGGACTTTGTTATTCAAAATGCAGTATCTTGATTCAGTGATGTGATTCATAAGCTGGGGGATCTATTCACTCACACACTGCCTCCAGCTCTGCTGCAGCATGGCCCTATGTTTGTTCTGGTTTATTAGCCAGGCTAGTGCAGATACTCTTGGCACATATTAGCACTTGAGCTAATTTCACAACTTCCTGCAGAGAGAAAACTCCGCCACGACCCCAAGGACAGAGACCGGAACCAGAGAACAGAGGGGTACGTGAAAAAACAAGCTCGAGCAGATAAGTTGGTTTTATTGGTGGTGGGATTTATTCATCTTGGAGGATTTAGTCATCCTGTGTGAGGATCCTAAGGCTCACAGCTCTTGCTCATCCCTAGCTTGTTCACAAATAATTGCTAGCTGCAGTGTGGCAGAGAGCTCCATTCCCATAGTACTCTAGCATCCCAAAGAATGGGCTAACTTGAATTGTGCTTCAGAAGAACAGACCTGTGTGGCATCACTGGAAATGCTCTTCATCCCTGATTGCTCTCCATACACAAATACAAGGAACACTTTGCTTTGAAAATTCTGTGTGGAAATGAATTTCCATCAGACTATACCTGCCTTGGAAATGTGTAATCTATGTGTGAACACAGGCTTTTGGCACTGACACCTGCTTCTAGCATTTCTATGGGATGTTATTGTACCATGGCATTACAAGCATAAGAATTCAGCTATCTGTTGGATACATGTTAATACAAAGAGGGCTCTGTGGTTTTGTTGAGGAGATTACATAGAGTGAATGTGAACAGCAGCTGGCATAGGTTGAACAGACATTGGAGTAGCCAGCAGGACAGACCACGGTGTTCTTTAGCACAATGGCAGTGAGCATGACCTGATGAAACAATTGCATATTTCTGTGTAACTCAGCCTGGGATCCTTGGGGAACATTTGTATACCTCATGCTTCAAGCAAACAACTGCTGGGAATGATTAAGGAGCATTTCTGTACTGAATGCATTGGGAGCTCAGTTGTTCTTTCTCGCTGGGGAGTTGCCTTCTTATTAAATCACCTGCTATACCTTGTTTGAACCTTTTAGCTGCTGCTACCATAAGTCAAAGTAATCTGGCATGAAGACAGTGATGCTGCCCTCCTGTTTCCTGAAGGCAAAGCACCTGCCATGCAGAGTGCTTTGCTGTCCCTGAGAGTTAATGGCAAAATGCTTGAGGAGAGTCATAGTCAAAAGACTAACTCAAGTCAAAGATCAACCCAGAAATGTCTGGCTTTTATTATGATCTCAAAGGTCTCTTCCAACCTAGTTGATTCTGTGATTCTGTATGAGTGAAATCACATTTGTCCTCCTACTGTTTGGAGGTGATAGACCAGAGGGTTTTTCAGAATTGCTATCACTGTTTTAATTCTGTGAGGAGACGACAGTGTGCTTTACACACTGTGGATTACAGAACGTGGCAACTCTGAGCTCTCCACAGTTTTTGAACATGATGTGACTGCTTAGACTGTTATAGTTTGCTCTCAAATAGTACACTGCTTGTATATGGTAGGATTCATCTTGATTCAGAAGACTTACCTTTTGACTTGATGGGGTATCTTAGTCTGGATCCCATAGGGGTCAATGTTGTTGCATTGTAACTCTTCCTTTTTTCCTCCTTTCCTTATGGCTGGCATTCCTGCCCCAGATGACTTTATCTGCCACCTTAATTAGAGTGCCCCCGGTAATTTTTTTTTTATGGTTACTGTTCCTCTCTATAATGCTCTTTGCATCCCACTGGCAATTTATCACCTCACTGAATGCTTGAATTATACACGTGTATTGTGAGAATCAATGCAGCTTATTTTTTTACAATGCCTTTCTTGCAGCTATAGGGCTCATACCTATTAATACAGATTAATATATTGTTAAGACATTCTAGATAGAATTGTTAATGTTGATTTTGATACAGTGTCAGATATCTGCTATTTTAAGTTGAGAAACATTAGAGAAACACTTTTGTTAATTTGTGGCCTTCAGGAAAGAACTGTAGTCCCTGGTTTTCTCAAACTTTTGGGTTGCTCTGGCAAGTTTGATACTGTGTGAAACACTTTAAGCTGAGGAGAACTAAGGAGGTATCTAACAGTAGTGTGGCAGACTAGTTGCCAGACAGAATGATACTGCCTCAGCTGCAGGAAAGCCAGGGAGAGAATGTCTGCACTTCTACAAAACACTCTGAAATAGGCTTTAAATGATTGGTACCTTTTTTCTCTCTGTTGCTTTGTCTCTGCAGGGATTCCAGGGCTTTGGCTTTGGCGATGGTGGCTTCCAAATGTCATTCGGAATTGGGGCGTTTCCCTTTGGTATATTTGCAACAGCATTCAACATAAACGATGGGCGACCTCCTCCAGGTACCACGCAGCCATCTTCTCCCAGAGGCCTGTCACAAACAGATGTTTGTTACAAACTCCTTTGTAACTTTTAAACAAATAGCTTTCTAAATGACAAAACTTTTTGAATAGTAGAGTAAATCGGTGCTGTAAATAGAAACACAAAATGGTTTGCTGAAGGCCTTCCTGGGAGGACAGTAGAACTGGAGAGGGAGAGTGGCACTGGGTAATTCTCCCCTTTAATTCAAATGCCTCCTCTGGTACTCCCTCTGAAAAATGAGACAAATTGGACTAGGGTTTCTAATAATAGTACTAAAAAGGAGTCAGCAGGGGTGAATGAAGGAGACCTGTATTTTGAAAACAGCAGGAAAGGACCATTTCCTGAAAGATGAGAAGGAAAAATTTAAACTGGTTTCAACCCCTTTGTACCACAAAATAATGACAGCAGGGATTGTTTCTTTTCCAGAAATTTATCTGAGAGTCACCTGTATTCCACAAGAAGTGACTTTTCTGGTGAAATGATTTCACTGATTTTAATTAAGAAAAAACAGTTGGCTTACTCCAAGTAGTGGCCTTGCTCTCTAAAAATGAAGCAATCCCCAGAAAACCTCCTCCCCATCTACAGTGTAGACAAACCAAGTCTGCCTGTTTTGAACAAGAACCTACTTTTCTGTACAGGATTTTCTTCCTCTAGCAAATTTTCTTCACCATGTCATATGGCATCAGAACTATGAGAACATTCTTTGTGTCACACCTGTGTTGCCAAGGACCTGTGCTGTCCTAGGGTCAAATTAACTTACCTATTAACTATACTTGAGTGTCCACTGAAAATGTGTGTGGGGGTGTGACTGAGCTAAGGAGTATGTAAATATATCCTGTTGTACCAGCCATCATTTAACCACCTCCTTTATCTGCTTTTCAGATGTGAATTCAGTGCAGCAGTTCTCGAAATGCACAGCTTGAGCTTTAGAGCTTGTGTGCTTTACATTAGTTCTCTTTGTCAAGGCACCACATGCAGCTTTGACCGTTTTACCATTCTCTTACTCAGAGATGTTTCACCTTGATGGGGAGGAGCACTCAAGTAGAGGTGGTAAAGCTCCTCAGGCTGGAAACAGTGAACTTGGCTAGCTGTGAGCAGTGAACTGAGCAGTGAATTTCACTCAGCACTGTCCCCAGAAGTACTCTGAGCAGAGCTGCATGTACTGGAGCACTGGGAGCTGCCTGCTGCTATTAGTCACAAGCAGGTTTACCACAAGTCTGCTTCAGGGAGCTGATGTTTATCTTCCCTCTGATCTTCCAGTATGGCTTGCCAGTCTGAAATAGCACAGTTTCTCACCAAGTAGATTCATTGCATATCTTTCAGTTTATGTTCAGAATATATACTATGTTCAGAATATACACAAAGAAGAGGAAGGAGCTGAACTGTTCTGTTTTCCTTTCTGTTTTCCAGCTGTTCCAGGGACTCCTCAATATGTGGATGAGCAGTTCCTATCCCGCCTCTTCCTGTTTGTGGCTCTGGTGATAATGTTCTGGCTGTTGATTGCGTAATTTTTTTTCATTATTCTATATATTCATGGCCAACAAGGCACCTGAAACAGTTACAAACTGCATCCCCATCCCATTTTAAATCTCTTGGTGTCTGGTTCCATAGCTAACTGTGGGCTTCAGGAATTGGTGGTACTACAGGACAATGAGGAATCCCGCATTTTGCACCAGAGTTGGAAATTAAACATTAAAAAGCATATTTCAGCTCAGCTGTTGTGTACAACAGGTAACTGCCACAAACCGCGGGCCTAGCTTTGAGCTCCACTCCTAAAAGGAGTGCTGCTTTGAAATCCTGTGCCAATCAGTGACACCAGGTTTATGTGAAAGACAGTTGCCTCAGAGGTAGACTGGGCAGGTAAGGAAACCTCTGCAGTGTGACCAGTATCTCATGCTTGGATCTGCCTGAGCTGTGGATGTTATTTAATGTCTTCACATCAACATCCAGCCTTCTTCAGGAAATCATCTGCAGCACTGCTAAGACTCTTTGGGCACAGCACGTGATGCAAATAGAACCAGGCCTGGAACCTGGTTTCTTTGCTTGCTGTTATTTCCCAGTGTGATGGGAAACCCCTCCTGAAGAGGTTCTGATGGCTGTTAGAAGGGATACAAATTTATGCTGCAATTTCTTAAAGCCTGAATTTGCTGGAGCCAGACACTGGAAGATTCTCTCATCGTGGAGCTGGGTGGGGTTGCAGAACAGTCCAAGGAACTGCCTCACCCAGCCCAGTTCCTCACTGACGAAACAGTGTTGTCTTCCTTGGTTCTGCGCAGCAGCCTGTGGCTGCACTGCTGGATGATCCCCTCACAACCCTGTCACTGTAGCTACATTTATTCCTCCCAAGTCTTTGAGACTTTCTGCTCAAGGTTGTGTACTCCAAATAAAATCCTATTACAGATCTGAGATCAGCGTGTTTGGGGAGAGGAACAAAAGGCATCTTTATGTGAGTTTTGAGGTTAAACTTGTCATACTGTAAAATCAGACAAGAGGAAGAATGAGATCCTGCCTTTGCTAGCACATGCTGCAGTAGAGAACATTTGGAAGAGCTTTTCTCTACAGGTGTGTACAGCTGCTCCATGCCACAGCAGAATGGCTGTACCGCACGAGTCTCTGCAGTACCTACCAAAGAAACTAACCTGAAGTGCTGGAGGAGACCACAACTATTTATGTGCTGAGGGGAAAATACTTCAGAAGGTGAGCACTTGGTAGCTGTTTTGGAATCTTGTTGGGGACACAGCTTTAGGGACTACTCCTGATGTATATGTGTAGATTCTTTCAGAACAGCAGGTAGGAGAGATTCCCTGGCAAGATGAACAGCTTTCCTATTCCTCTGAAAAATGTCAATTTTTTTCTCTTCTTTTTAGGTTGTTTTGATTCAGATTCCTCATAGTCATAATTATTTCCTGCAGGATGAATATTGTGACATTCCTGGCAATAGACAGCCAACTGACAGAACAAGTCAACTCATAGAAACTCTGTTTTAATTGCTAGGGTTTTTCTAGTGGATGGATGAGGTTCCTCGGCAGGACCCCTTAATTGTTGTAGAAGCTTATTTATGTCATTATAAACTGTTCACTTTTAGTATTGAGACACAGGATGTCTGCAGTTTAACTTGCCTACCTCCGGAATTCCATCTGGCAAGTGGAATGTTGCAAAGCCTCCGCGGTGTTTTGCCACGTCTTGTCGAATTCATACCTGACCGATAGTCGGGCAGCATACACTGCTCAGCTGTAAGTGTTGAAGCAGCGCCTCAGCTTCGGTGGTGCGGCACTTTTGAGAAGGTTCGCTGCTTGTGCATAGGGTTCTTCTCAAGTGCGGCACTTGGTAACGGGCACCCTTTCGAGGAGAAAGGCTGGGTTGTTTCTGGCTGGCGGTAGTACGGAGCCGCGGCTTTGACCGCCTTTCCTGAGCAGGCAGCACCCCCTGCTGATGAACAGGGGAAGTTCAGGTGCAGTAAAGGATGGTTTTCCTTTCCCATTGAGGAACGATGCTAACGGCAGAGGTTGGCCGGGGAGGAGCAGCCACTTAAAGCCTTTCTCCGAGAAAGTGGACAGAAAAGCGACTGTAACAGGTTCAAGCGGTACTGAAACTGATTTAACTAACCTTATGTTTAATAATACAGAATTTTAATGGTTTGGGTTTTTTTTTTCCATCTATTGGTGAGAGACACAATGGATTTCGACAGAGGTGGCTACAGAAATATGACTGAGTCCTTATTTTCTGGCAATCCAATAATGAAATAGTCTGAAAGTGTTAACGCTTTTGTTCCTACCTTTTCCCTGGCGTGCTTTTTGTATTGTACCACTTCCCTCCTCGTACTCAGACTGCACACAGCCCGTAATGGCTCGTTTAGTGCATTACCATTACTGTTCACTAATTTTCACTGTTGTGAAAGTGATTTAGAATTAAAAAATGGTTTTACATTGACCGTACTGCGCCGCCGTTCCTTTGTGCTTTGCGGACGGACTGAGGTGAGGCGCTGCCCTCATCCCTACCTCGCGGACGGGGGGGGGAAGTCGCAGAGCCCGTTGCTGGTCCTTGCCTCAGGAAGCGGAAGGGCTGGGGCCTCACTTCTCCCTCAACGGGGCTGTTCCGCCGGCGGCAGCAGTATGGAGGGGCCCGCGGGCGGTGGCCGGTGAGGCCGCGCCGGGCTCGGGGAGGGTGTAGGCCCCGCAGGGCGGCCCAGCCACGGGAGCTGCCGCGCCCGCCTGTCCACAGCCCGCCACGGCACGTGGTGGGAGGGGCCGGGGTGTGCGGCCGCGCTGTCATTGGTCCTCGCCGCGGATGGGGTGGGACGGTCACCGCCGGAGTAGCGTGGGGATTGGCCTGTGGTCGTGAGGGGGGCGGAGTGCCGATTGGCCTGCGGCGAGGAAAGGGGCGGGGCGATAGCTGCCTTCGGGGCGGGGTACGGCGCGGAGGTAGCAGAGAGGGGAAGAGAGGTGGGGGCCGCGCGTGGGAGCGCGCTGCCGGTGCAGGTGCGCAGTGACGTGACCTGCGGCGCGCTCCGTAGAGGCTGACGTCAGGCGCGGTCTAGCCCCGGGGCGCGGCGGGGCCGGCGCGGGATGGAGGAGCCAGGTGAGGCGGAGCGGCGGGAGCGCGGCCTCTCCCGGCCATGTGCGGGGCGGCAGGTGCCGGGCTCGGGGGGTCCCGCCCGGTGCTCATGTGCGGCGGTGGCGGCGAGCGGCTGCCCGGCACCGGCCCGTTAGCGCGGGAGCCTGCTGGGGTGGGGCGGTCGTGCTGGCCCTGTCCCCGTTGTTGTCCCGCGTTCCCCGCCGGCTCTCGGTGCCTCTCTCGGGCCGGTGCCTGCCGGGGCTGCTGGTGCCGCCGGGGGATGCGCTGCAGCTCCCCGCTGGCCGCCCTGCGACATTCCTCCTGCCCTGGGGGACCTGCAGACCTGTTACATTGATCGTGTCCGTTCGCCTTTCCCTCGCGCTGTTTCCTGCTCTGCTTTTTTCATTTCCGTCACTTCTCCTGGATACTCCAGCGATTCCGTGGATACAGAGCTGT